GCCCGCCCCCCCGGGGGGGGACCCAAACCAGCCACTTGCTCCCCCGCGGCGGCCCGGCTGAATGGCGCAGAACTCAGCCAAGCGCCACAGCGGGAGGAGAAGGACGGTACAAAGTGGGGTGGGGCAGTGACATACACGGGAGTGCTTCACGGGGTCCGTGGGGCCCAAATAGCCACTTGCTCCCCCGCGGCGGCCTGGCTGAGCAGCGCAGAAGTCAGCCAAGCTCCACGGTGGGAGGCAACACGTAATGCTACAGCGCTACAGAGTCACAAACATTGGGCTACTATATATATGATAAACAGTTTTACATATATAGAGATTTTTTTGTTGGTACTAGTGGTGCACATCCATAGATATAGATAGAGATTTTTTTTGTTGGTACTAGTGGTGCACATCCAAACAATCTCAGTACTGGTGTTCCACATAAGAAAATTCAACTCACCTATGACTGAAAATATTAGAGCAGTGTTTCTCAAAGTGGCCAGGTCCACACCACTTTCCACAGCTCCCCTTGACTGCAAACGGCGAACCGAAGCTAATGGGAGCCACAAGGCTCAGTGGCTGTGGAACCAGTAAATAAAACAAACTAGAGCAGCCAGTTAGCAGGTTTCTCAGAGTGCATCTACAGACCACACTGAGAAACACTGTGTTAGAGTGAACACTGATCTTAACACCCCTACTATGTTTGCAAGAGTTTCTATGTAAATTGAAACTAAACAGAACTGTGTTTGAGTCAACACATCTAAAGCAAAACAAAAAAATAAGCTAAAGGTCAACCACTGACTAACTCACTAGTTTTCGAAGTTATATATCAGCATCATTTTGTAACAGTATGTTTAGCTTCTTCCCACTCATGACTGAGCAAGCACTAAGCAGGTTTTGTTTTGCTTTAGCTGTCACACCTCCCCCATTATTTTTAATACTTCTTTGGAAACTTAAAACAGAAGATAGTAATACTGCAACGTTCCCTCTCACCCCCAAGAACTTCAGGCTGTTTTAGAGGGGTAGGAGTTGAGATTTGTTTTTAATAAAGGAAGATGCTTAAAATATTTATTTAGAAAAAACAAGTATCAATAAAGGAAACCATATTGATAGAAGTTTCACCAAGATAACACAGCTAATTAAATGTGATTCCTACAATTAACAAGTCACTTCCTTTTCAGTTGTACTTTAGGGGAGATTCACATTTGCCTCTGTAATTTCTTCTCCAGTTATCCAATTAAGTAGATTTTGCCCAGGAAAGCTTATGCCCTGTCATGATCATGAGGCCAGCAGCCTGGGGACTAAGGGGTTAACTATACCTAAGCCAGGTGGAGTTGGCCAATAGGAATGCAGGTAGGAATTTCAAACTGGGACAAAGGAATTTTTGGTTTCTCCCTCCTTTGTCTCTGGGGCAGCTGCTCTGCAGCTAGTGAGGGGGTCAGACAAAATATCTCCCTCCAGGAAAAGACTCTTCACTATGTGTAAGTTGGGTAAGATTTAGATAAATGTCTGTGCATTTAGATCTGATGTCTGTGCATTTTTAAAAATGGGTTTTGCTCTCCTTTGAAATTAAGTCTTGGCCCATGGTGGAGTTCCTCCATGAGTTTATTAATTTGTGACTCTTCCATCTAGTTATTATGCTTGCAACAGGAATATTGTGGTGATAATAAAAGTTCTCTTTTCTTTTATTAACTCGGTATTGGTTAATATGGGTGTCCTGGTTTTCACTTTAGGGGTGAGATTTCTCAAGTGATCTCCCTCCTGAGTTCTCATCATTACTTGGGTGGTGACAGCAGATTTTATTCCCAAAATCTAGGTTTTTAAGATTTTGGGGGGAAGTTTTATACCAAAGCCTGGAAAGATATGGTTTTGGGGTACTTTTGCAGGCCCCCACTTCTGCATTTATCATGCTAGAGTGAGGAAGGAGCCTTGACATGCCCTAATAAATCTGTTCGTTACCACAGATATCCTTGTTGTTTTGGCAGATATAGACTATAAATACACAGGAGTAGTAGTTGTGGCAGAGACTCCATCAAATATAAAGTCATGTCCCTATTTTATTTACTTATTGGGCAACTACTTTCCAGGTAATATTTACTACAAATGAAGGATTTAAAAAATTTCTACATTTATCTTGATTGCTCAATTTATAAATGTGATAGCACTTTGCATATATTAAGGTGTTTTTCTTAACTTTGTAGAAACTAAATCTGGGCCATCTGGAAAAAAATTAAATCATTTGTAACATACAGAAAAGATAATCATATACTAAAGGAAAAGGTGACTCATGCCACACTGAGTGTGTAACACCAGTCACTGTGTTCATTACTACTGTTTGATATGTATCTGAAGATTAACATACTGTTTTAATATTGTGTACAGAATTAGGCCCTGAATAATTAGTTTTTTATAGTCAACTTCCCTCCTTCGCTGGTTTATTTTTTCTTCTTTCATTCTCATCACAACAGATATAGAAAACTACCATTTTAAAAGCAATAGGAATTAACCGTTATAAACCCACAAACATTAGAAGATGCACCCGGGAGCAGGTGTAGCACCTGACCTTACTGTAAATCACTGTTTAAAATTGACCAGACCGAGTGGATAAGGGCTCTTGAAATGTTATCAAGTCACAATTAGACTCGGAGAAGTGATAGGCCGGGCGGCCTGTCTGCCAGCACCTCCCTCGGGATTCCGAACCGAGTCCTCCAGCCTCTCCAGGGCTTGCCAGGGGTTTCAGGACACACAACGCCCGTAGCAGGCTCACACCCAAGGGCGGCCGAGCCGGTGCCACGGTCCTGGCCCGTACTTAGCACCGGGCACTAGCCCTGCGTACGTCCCCCCAGCAGAACCGGACTTCCCCAACCAGAAGAGTAATCCGAGCTGAGGAGGGAGGCGCCCAGGTAACCCCATTCGCGAGGGTGGGAGGGACACGCCCAACCCGGCTCTGCGGGGTGGGAGCAGCCTGCCTGGCGAGGGAAGTGGGCCGAGAGACGCCCCCACCGGGGCGGCGAGGAGTGGACGCGCCCCGGTCCCCGGGGAGGGACGGGCAGCCCGCCCGGCGGTGTGCGGGATCTAGCCGCCACCCCCGCCCTGATCGGTACCCCCCTAGCCCACCTACCTACTCCCAGGTCCGGCGGCGCAGCTGAGAAGGGGGGCGGGGGACAGTGAGATCACCGGACAACAACACAACACCGCCCTCTCCGCGCCAGTCCTGCCTCAGCGGCGGCGCCGATTAAACTCGTCCGCTTCTACGTGCGCCCCCTGCTGATGGGAGGCCAGCGCCATAATCAGCCGCCTCAAACTGAGCAGCCCCAGCCGATTAGCGGCCGGGAGTATATTTCTGCTTCTCCTATTGGCTCCACCAATCCGAGGACAGGACCGACTCTTTTGATTGGCTGAAGACGACACATTCTTTGCTTCCGATTGGCTCTACATGTTCTTTCGACTGACTGGCAGGAGCGGGCAACAGCTCCACCTCCGATTGACCCCTCCACTGCCACTCTGGAGACACGTCAGTCCTCATAGGCGGAAGCCAGCAATCTCAGCGCCTCCCATTGGCTCAGGCTCACTATCACAACGCCCTCTCTGAAAGCAGGCGGAGGCCCGGCTGTCCGCACGGTAATTAGCACTGGCTACTATGGCTTGGGCAGGCCGGCTTCTAGGTCCTGTTTCCGGCCTGGTGCCAACCCTCAAACTGTTGTTGCGATCAGTTTAACAGCACCGCGCGTGCGCAGGATTTCCTTCCGCCTTCGCGGGTTCTCGCTGTTTCCCACAGGGCGCGCGCTATTTGATCACGTGACCCTGGGTGAGGCCGGAAAACACGGGGATGGTGCTTGCACGCGCCCCTGTCTGAACCTCCGCGAGCGGGGAAGAGGTTCCCTCGTGGGGCGGCATGACGGTGCCGTCACAGTTTAACAGCACCGCGCGTGCGCAGGATTTCCTTCCGCCTTCGCGGGTTCTCGCTGTTTCCCACAGGGCGCGCGCTATTTGATCACGTGACCCTGGGTGAGGCCGGAAAACACGGGGATGGTGCTTGCACGCGCCCCTGTCTGAACCTCCGCGAGCGGGGAAGAGGTTCCCTCGTGGGGCGGCATGACGGTGCCGTCAGACTGAGTGCGGGCCTGTCCCCCGTCACGAGCGGAATGTGGTCGGCACGTGGCCCCCGCATCGCACCCTTCGAGTGGCGCTGGCTCCTTTTGCCATGGGCCGTGCTTTGTCCTGGGGACAGCGACTGTGCAACGTTGGATTTACAACAAGCCCTGCAGCCAGATAGGTACAGCTGCAGGCAAAAACATCAAACTGGCCTCTCCCACACTAGTGACACTCCATGGCTTGAACTGGGCAGCCTGCCCTGCCCTGTCTTCATTTCACAAATAGTCCTACATGATCACCCTCAGCTGTATGCGAACAGGTTAAAGTGAGGGAAAGTGTAGTTCTTTATCTTACAAAGCCAGTAGCTCTCACACTCACTGGTTTGGGACAGTGTCCTGCATGATTCCCTTTCTTGTTACCTACAGCAGTACAGTGAGGAACACACACACACACACACACACTGGCTCCCCTTGCAATTGAACCAGCTCACACCACCTTTTGGGGCACAGAGTGATTGCCTGCTGCACTCAGAAAGGATTCCATAGCATTGTAGAATGGACTGATCCATAAGGGAATTTTGCATCCTCTGAAGCATTGCTTTGAAAACTGCTGGGTGTGGAATGTCTGACTTAATGGACAAATAGTTGGAGCTGGTATAGGAACTCTAAAATTCCAGTTTTACTCTTTTTGAGTCAGTAATTTTTTTCCCTTCTGTGTTTCTGGAGCTTTAACTGTGTTTTATTTTACACATGGTTCCATAAGAATGGCTACTAATATGCATGAGGGATGCCAGAAAATTGTACACCTTCCTTATAGCAGTCCATTATAAAAATAGAGATGCTTTTTGCCCTTTATGCCATTTGCTCTTTCTTGATCTCACTCCCCTACACTCTGAGCAGTTAATTATAATAAGCAGAGTGCTGAGAGCACTAATTAGGCCAGTGCTTCTTTGATACTACTGGCTCTGGTCCTGAGAGTAGTAACTGTGATGTTGCAAGTATATTTTTTTATTTCGTAGCCCCAGACATATACAATAGGTTAGGGTTATACTCTAGTGTGATAGCACATCACTACTAACTCCAATGACTACTGTTATATCTTCCTATTTCTGATTTTGTTTTGAAAATCAAAATGCAAGTAAAGCATATCAACTGAAGCTCATCCCAAATAATAAAGATATATCTTGTACTTGCAAACTGAGTTCCTGTCTGCATTAAGGAAATTCACTTCACTATAGTCATAGTGCTACAAGTCCCTAATCTAGGCATCTAACACCAGCACAAACTGGGGCTGACAGCAGTACAGGGATGGGGAAATACTGGCTTGCAGGCTGCATCCAGTCTGTAGGGTTTGCCCCTGATGGGCCCCCACTCCATCATACTTACCTCTCCCTCCGCAGGCATGGGAGATCATAGCTCCCGTTGGCTGTGGGTTGCCATTCCCAGTCAATGGGAGCTATGCTTGCTTGTACCCATTACTGTTTTATTGCCCACACCTGCACTAATATATTGCTGTAATCCCAGTGAAGAGAGTTGCACTAGCATAACTCCATCATTGTAGATACACCAGTAAAAATCCGATAGCGTGGACAGACAAGCATTATCCATCACAAGACTGTTTTTTGAATGTGCAGGCATCTAAAACCAATTATTTTAAGGATTAATATCATTGTGTGTCAGTGCTTAAAATTAACTAGGATGGGTTAAATGTAGGAATTATTTCATTACTTGTTGTTTTAGCACATGTAAGGGAGAAGAAAATAAAATCTACAAGGAGGAATGGAAAATGAGAGCTTTTTGAGTGGGAATGCACACAGGAGGAGACACAAAAAGGGAAGAGAGAGAAACAGAAAAGAGAGTGTGTGGGCAAGAAACTGAAATAAGGGGCAGAAATAGCAGTAATTAGAACCTTGGTCTGATTCCCTTACTTAATGATTTTGAATACAACAGCAAGGCACTGAATAGTCCAACTTACCTTGTTGAACTACCACAGTGAATGAGGGCAATAGTTGTGTTTAAGGATTTCCTTTCCTCCAGAAGTGGGTTAGCATTCAGCTCTTAAGACTTAGACCCTCATTCTTAGTGATACAATTAAGCCAAAATAATTGCAGCCATAAAAGGGAATTAATGAAGATATGAGGACTGGAATTAGATTATTTTCCTTAGTAATAGTTTCCATTTCAGAGACAGTTGGGGCAAACAAACTTGCTAGCACAATAGAATCTTTTACTACTTATGCACTTAGATACTGTACTGATGGATATTGTAGAATCCCCCAAGATCGATAAAGACATATTTCCTCTTCTGCTTCCCCCTAGGAGAGCAAATGTGTCAGATGGGAAGCTGTTGGAATGTTCTATTGTACCTTTAAAGAGAGGGGGAAATCTAAATGTAGCTCAGCCCAGTAACAGGAGATAAGTGACCCAGTTGAAATAAAAATATAAATTATAGAAGACAAATGTATGAATTAATTTTGTTTTAAATCTTCATTTAAAAGAAGAGGGATCACATGTGTCTTCTTTTGTTAATGAAGATCTCCCCAGGAACAGATAAGTCAGCCTGCCTGCTTTCAAAATAGGTGAGATATTTGACCATTAACTTTTCTTTAATGTTTGGATAATTATATTTTTTTCTTATTTTTGATGTATCTACATTGCTTCTTGTGTAATTATAGTTCATGAGTAACTTTCACAGTTAAGAAACAATGTTGCAATTAATTGTATTTTATACAAAATGAGGAAGTTTCAGCTATACATAGTTGAAATCTGCCTGCTTCTATTACAAGTTCTTGCTCTTCAATGTAACTAAATAATGAATAAAACGTTGTTATATTTATCTGATAAAGTAGTATGTTTTGATGTGTATACAAAAGGTTTCCAAAGCACTCTGCAGACTGAAATGCAGCTACAAGTAGAATCTCAAAGTTACAAATACTTCAGGAATAGAGGTTGTTTGTAACTCTGAATGTTTGTAACTGAATGGTTGTTCTATTGAAAGCTTCCAACTGAACAATGACTTGATACAACTTTGAAACTTCACAATGCAGAAGAAAAATGATACTTATTATAACTGTCTTAATTTAAATGCAACAAGCACTGAAATAGTTTCCTTATCTTGTCAAATCTTAAAAAAAAAGTCTTTACCTTTATTTGTTTAAATGTAACACAGTACTGTACTGTATTTGCATTTGAAGGTGGTGAGGGTGTCTCTGCTGCTCCCTAGTTGCATACATCCGGTTCTGAATGAAATATGTGGTTGATTGGTCAGTTTATGATTCTGGTGCTCGTTACTCGATGAGGTTCTACTGTACCTTTCAATCAATCAGTTTAGCACACTCCACAATAACAAAGAAGCAAGGAAAATGTTGGTCAAGAATATTGGGAGTAACGTGTGTTGTTGTGTAAAGACCTTTAATATCCTCATAGAGAAGGAAAATCTGTTTTTAAGTGCTCAGCCAATTAATTCTGAAATGTAGTTTTGATAGTACCAGACAGAGACTAACAGAAACACAACACTGGGATATAAAGGAAGTCTATTACTCTTGCAATTAATTATTTTTTTCTTTATCAACCATTTTGCCAGGAAAGCAATGGTTCTGTTACAAGCAGAATCCCAGGGATTATCCATGACTATCCCTCTGTTTTTACAATAGTTCTATTTGTGCTCTAGCTAGGGATGTAAGCGACTAGTTGACTTATTGCTTATTGGGTTGTTGAGTAGTGGCTTGACTAGTCACTTACCGCCCCCCCCCCCCCCTTACTGCCTCTATTAGACAGAGGCAGCAAGTGGGGGTGAGCAGGAGCCAGTGCTGGGTGGGGGGGCAGAAAATCCAGCTTAAAAGCCAGCTCCCCCCAGCACTGTCTCTGCAGGGTAGGTGTGGGGAGGCTGAAGCACAGCAGGGAAACAGTGTGAGCGAGGACTGAAGCAGTCCCCACTTGCTCTGGGTCCCAACTGCTGTGCCTCTGCCTTTGAAATGTAGCATGATCCTCCAAGATCCTTTTCCTATATTTCAAAGGCAGAGGCGCTGTAGTTGGAACACAGGGCGAGTGGGGACTGCTTGAATCCCTGCTCGCCCCATGTTCCCCTCTGCACTTCTGCCTTTTAAATATATTAAGAGCCATAGATGCCACTTACTACATTTAAAAGGCAGAGATGCAGCCAGGATAGCGAGCGCCCCACCTCCCCTTATTAACTAATCGAGTAGTCGATGGAAATTCCATCAACTACTCAATTAGCTAATTAATCGAAATTTAACATCCCTAAGTCTAACGTCATTGTGAGTTAGGGATGTAATAGTGTAGTCAACTAAACGATTAACCGGTAAGTGGGTGCTTATTGGTTAACACTATCAGTTACATGCATCCACTCCCCACTCTTCTGCAGCTCTGCAAGTACATTTTTTAGAGGGCTGGCCAACAGATTTGCTCATTCCCAGCTTGCGCCAGATCCAGGCATCAACCCCTGCTGCAGCTCTGGCAAAATGCAGGACAATGTAGCACTTTAAAGACTAACAAGATGGTTTATTAGATGATGAGCTTTCGTGGGCCAGACCCACTTCCTCAGATCAAATAGTGGAAGAAAATAGTCACAACCATATATACCAAAGGATACAATTTAAAAAAATGAACAAATATGAAAAGGACAAATCACATTGCAGAACAGAAGGGGAATGCGGGGGGGTGGGAAGGGGGAGGAAGGAAGGTAAGTGTCTGTGAATTGATGATATTAGAGGTAGGGAGGTTGATGCCGGGATCTGACACAAGCTGGGACTGAGTGGTAGCAATGCTAATCCATATCAATTAATCATGTAGTCAACAAAATGTTTGTCAATTACATAGTTAAAGTATTACACCCTTCTTAACATTCCTATTGTGAGTAGGATTTCATTACGTAACAGCTAAACTAGAAAAAGCAAAAGCAGTGAAGATCTGGGACCAGGTGAGAAGTGTGAGATATTGTAACCAATCCTTTTCTGCAGCCTGATGTCATTTACATTAAAATGAATTTGGTACTGAAAGTAGTTTACACCAAAGGAGTTGCATTTTTGCATCTTTAGTACAAGGTAAAGTCATCACCCCAGGTCAGCCTTTGAATGGTAAAGTGAAAGAGAGATCCACCAGCCCAAATTAAATGTTATATGTAGATATATATTTTTAAGAAGCCAGTAGGGAAAAAAAGCAATTCATGAAATCTTTATATGCACTTTTATGGAAAACACATGGCAAAAGGAATATTCAAACCTTGACGTGTGGAATTATATTTATAACTATAAGACTTATCCAGCATTGCCCAGGTCCTTCAGCGCAGGGAGCTAGTGGTATGGGGTTGCAGGAGTCAGGGCAGGGCATTGGAGATGTGAGATAGGAGGCGTTTGAGGCAGGGGGCCAGTTACCTGATCCAGTGTCTAGCAGTGTAGTGATCCCCGACCCCACCGGGCCACTCTGAGGCTATATCTACACTGGCACGATCTTGCGCCACAGCTATGCAAATGAGGCGAAGCATGAAATATCGCCGAGCCTCATTTGCATAGCTAATGAGCGGCCATTTTGCGGAAGAGGCTCTTGCACAAGAAGGAGCTGTCTACACTGCTGAAAATAATCAGCGTAACAGCATTGTGCAAGAGGGTTTTTCTTGCACAAGAAGGGGCAGTGTAGACAGCTTCTTCTTGCACAACAGCCTCTTCCGCAAAATGGCTGCTCATTAGATATGCAAAAGAGGCTCCGGGTGCATAGCTCTGGTGCAAGATCACGCCAGTGTAGACATAGCCTGAGGGTAGTATGGTTGCATTCATTGACCACTCTGCAGTACCACTGTCCTCCGGTCAGCCCCCCTCCCTTTCCACATTATGGAAAACAATCTAATTCCAGACAGATCCCATTTTCCTGGCACAACCAAACCCTGACCATGCTTTAAGTTAGGTTAAGTGGAAGGTGCATACCAAATTTGGTGGTCCTAGCTCTTACTGTTTACGAGGAGTTCTTGAACAGACTCACAGACAGGCAGGTGTACATTTCTAGTAGATAGATGATGTATTCTCAAAGTTATCACTGGATTTTAGATGCAAATCTTCTATTGAAAATTAAAGAGACAAATAAGTCATTGTTCAAAGATTTGGAAATGTCCCACTGTATGTCTAGCTTTGTTCATGTTTGAAATCCTTTTAATTTCTATGCCTTTTGCGTCCTCAGATACCTGGATGCTAGCAGCCCCAGAAATACCTCGCAAGTAAGATCAAATCAAATTGTAGGACTGTTTTTGAACATCAGATATGCTAAAAGTGAAAATATTAATTGGATGCATTCTTTTGTTTCATAGCTGTCCAGTAAATCATGTTGCTGCCTCCTCTGAGCATCCTGTTTGGATTGGCTGCCTACTGTTCATCTTTAGATAATGGTTTACTGAGGACGCCACCAATGGGCTGGCTGTCTTGGGAACATTTTAGATGCAATACTGATTGCAAAACTGATCCTGAAAACTGCATCAGGTGAGGTAATTGATCAAGAATGTCTGTGTTCTAATTATGACCAAGTTAGGAAACTTCTCAAAGTTTGTTCTAGAACAGGGGTTGGCAACCCCCAGCACATGTGCCACAAGTGGCATGTGAGCCGACTTACCATGGTACACGGGTGGGCGTTCAAACCCCTCCCCCCCCCCCCCCCGCAGCCTCAGTCGCGCAGCTGCAGGCTGGAGCACTAGCTCTGGCTTCCTGCTGGGAGGCAGGGGGTGGGAGAGGCGCATGCACATTTCTGGGCCTGCCCCTGCCCAGCCTGGGCGTGCAGCTCCCAGGAGCTACAGGATTAACCCGCCTCCTTCCTTGCTGCCTACAGGCTTCTTGCCTGCAGGACCTGGGCCTGCTCTGTAGAGCTGGGGGTGGGTGGCTGGCACATGCGGCATGCAGAGCTGCTCCCCATAGGTTGTGTGCGGGGTCAGGTAGCCCCTTGCCCAAATGGGCTAGAGCCAGCCATGGACTTTGCCTGCCCCAGCCTCAGAGCTGCAGCCTACAAGCAAAGGACTGGTCCTGGCAGGGAAGTGTGCTCGCTGGTGAGTGCACTGGGGGTACAGGGATGTGGGGCCGGAGGGGGGGTGAAGGAAGATGTGGGCGCAGGATGGGAGGGGGCATGGGGTGATGCAGGGGATCAGGCTGGTGGGGATCATGGGACTGAGAGGAGCGAGGTTGGAGCAAAGGGATGTTGTGAGGGGGGATACAGTTTTACTTTACAGAAGCTGCACTTTCCTTTACTCCCCACTTCTTTGTCTCCCTCCTCAACTAGCTATTTGGCTGCATTCGCACCCAGGGAATCAGGCTGTGGGGGCAGCATGGGAGGGAACAGGGGTTACACTGAGCGGCATGGGGTGATGCAGGGGATCAGGCTGGTGGGGATCATGGGACTGAGAGGAGCGAGGTTGGAGCAAAGGGATGTTGTGAGGGGGGATACAGTTTTACTTTACAGAAGCTGCACTTTCCTTTACTCCCCACTTCTTTGTCTCCCTCCTCAACTAGCTATTTGGCTGCATTCGCACCCTCCCCCAAGCCCCTCCCACCCCCAGACTCCCTCTCATACCCCCACCCCACACCCTCTCCTGCTACCAAACTCCCCTGACCCTGTGCTCCTCACTTCATCCTGCATCCCTATTCCACTCTCTGGTAGCCCTGTCCCACACATTGAACCTCTCGTTCCCACCCCAGAGCCTAATGGGGGGGCGGTCCACAAAATCCATTAACTCTGGAACCCCAGAAAAATAAATGTGGCCTATGGGAAGCCCTGAACCTCAGTCCTCCCTGTTCCTTCACCTCACCACATGGGGCTGGAGTGCCAGAAGAATGGGGTGTCTCAGTTGAGGGCCACATCAATGAAAGTTGGGGGTTTTGGAGGAGTTTTTTTGCTTCTCACTTGTGTGGTCCCCAACTGATTCTGTGGGTCAGTGAGCCCCACCCCTGCGATAAATAAAGTAAACATTGAAACCTTTTTATTGGACATTATATTTTACTTTCAGCAAAAATATTGGAAGTAAAATATTGTAATTTCTCATATTATTAGAAATTTAAAATTTGAAGAGATTAATGTTTAACAATTTAAATTAAACTATTCTCCCCAGTTGCAGCACTAGTAAAATGGCTCGGATGGAATTACATAATTAACAGTGAGTTTCCATCAGCAACAGGTAGTTCGCAGAAAGGTTTGCTTTGACCCAGGGAGTCCATCGGGTGCACGCTGGAGAGTCCTTCCCCCTCCCAGGAGAGTGGCACGGCCCAGGGCAAGAGGGTTAAATCTTGGCACACCGCTTAGGAAAAGTTGCTGGCCCCTGTTCTAGAGATAAGAGAATGTTGAACAAACTTTTGAGGTTTTGTCTGTATTAGTCTCTATAAAAAGACAAAGAGTGAATGCATTGTGTTGGTACAAATATACTGTTAGTACAATGTTTGTGAGAGTAGAGCTTCCTTAGTAACACTTCTATAGTGCTATGCTTACACTGCTCCCATTTTGCGCAAAAATATGCAAATGAGGTGAAGCATGGAATAATTAAGGAGGCTCCGTTTTTGGGCAAAACACCACTCTTGCACAAGAGCTGTTCTTCCACATTTTTTTCAGGAAGAATGGCTCTTGCGCTAGAGGGGGTTTTTGCAGAAAAGCCTCTTGTGCAAAAACAGAGCCTCATTAATTATGCAAATGAGGTGCAGCGATATTCCACACTTTGCCTCATTTAAATATTTTTTGCGCAAAACGGGGGCAGTGTAGACAAAGCTCTCATGTTAAAGTACAACAGAATGCTGGTGGTGAGATGCCATGGGAATAGAGGTAGTATAAATGCTTACATAGATTTAGGTAAGATTTTAGGATAAGAATAAACCCAGATTAAGTCAGATACAGTAGACTGGAAGAAGATTTTGAATAAAAAATTCTCAATTTATTTTAAAGAGCTTATTTATGAAAGAAATGTTTTATTTTACTACTCCAAGGAGAAGAATGGTGTATAGCAGTTGTCCCTGAGGCTACCTTATAATAATTCTAGTCCTACACCATTTACTGAAAGTGTTTTTATGTGTTTTCCCTTTTTTGACCTGAATCTTTTGTTCAAAGAATTCTTGTAAAATTCAGGAAGGTTTTCCCCCTTTCCCATTCTCTTATGAAGAAATGTTTATATTATTGTCCCTATTGTACATGCCAATTTTTATCCTTTTATCTTAAAATCTCACTTGTGGAAGCCTTCATAGACTTCCTAGATCAGTGATTTTAAAACATTTTTTTCCTCAACCTAACATAATTTGACTAGAGTTTGAGCTCTGGAGTTGGACTGAGGATGAGAGCTTTGGAGTGTAGGAGTGGCCCCAGTTTTGGGAGGGGGAGTCATGGCAGTAGGAGGAGGGGTTTATCTTGAGCGACTCCCAATCAGGGATGTAGCCGAGGTGCTAAGGCAGGCTTTCTGTTTCTCTTGGCACTGCAGCCCATGCTGTGCCCCAAAAGCAGCCAGTAGCAGGTTCTCAGCCAGTGGGAGTGCAGAGCCAGTGCTCAGGACAGGGGCAGTGCGCTCTTCCCCGACACACACACCTAAGAGCCAGGCCTGTTGCCGGCCACATCTGAGGCACAGTGCCATCTCAGTGCAGGCGGATAGCCTGCCTTAGCACCCACACAGGTCACCTGATCCCCCTGCAGCAATGAGACCCAGTGCTTGACATTCCACAACCCAGTAAAGCAGGGATGGCCGATCCATTGGAGACGAAGAGCCAAAATAGGGGTGGATAGAGTGTGAAGAGCCACGTACCGGTGGGGTGGGGGAGAGAGGTGTAAGCTCTGGGAGGGAATTTGGGTGCAGGAGGAAGTAGAGAAGAAGATGCTGGCTCAGGGAGGGGGCTCCAGGCTGGAGACTGTTGGGGTGCTGAGCAAGACACAGGTTTGTGGCTGTGAGGGTGAAGGAGTTTGGGCTGGGGTGTATGAGAGGCTCAGGGCAGGGAGGCTGGGTGTATGAAGGGCTCAGGACACAGATTTGCAGTGTATGGATGGTGCAGGAGTGTTGTGGCAGAAGATTGGGGATTTGGAGGTGCAGACGTTTGGGGATGTGAGAGGCTCGGGACAGGGAGTTCCAGTGTATGATAGGCTCAGATTTGGGGTCGGGGCAGTGCAGGAGTGTTATGATGCTGAGGCGAGATGGGGGTTTGGCCCCAATTGGGGGCTTGTTGGCCAGGCTTCTTTTTTAAATAAAATATTATGTCAAACACAAAATGTTTCAGCGTTGTCTTTATTTATGAGAGGAGCAGGGAACCTGTTTTGAGTCAGGGGTGACTGACCCACAGAAAAGTCAGTCAGGGCGACACAAGTGAGATGCAAAAAAACAACCCTTCCAAAACCCCGAAAGCCTCACTAATGTGCCCCCAACTGTGCTGGTGGGTGCCGGGGACAGGGTGCTGGGGCAGGGTGCTTGTGGGTGCTGGGGAAGGATACTCATGGGGGAATCTGGCCAGGGGGAGCTGACAGAGACAGCTGGGGCCAGTACCTGGGGATCCCGGGTCTCAGGAAGCATGCTGGCTGCTCTTCCCTTCCCCTCCTCTCGCCTCCCCCATCACCCCTCCTGCTCTAACCCAATCCCCCTCACCTTCCCCAGAACCAGGCACCACTCCCCCCTCCCCTCCCTGGAGCAAGGCACTGCCCTCCCTCTAACCCAATCCCCCTCTCTCGCTCTAATCTAATTCTCGGGTCCCAGAGACAGAGCTGCTGCCGCTAAAGCCATGACATTCTCACTGGGACGCCGTGCGCACCCCCTCTTCCCCCCTCCATCCTTCTCCCTTCCCCTCCCCTCTCCTTCCCCAGACTAGAGCCTGGGGTCCGGGAGCCACTATCATTGCGCGTCTCCCTCCAGGTGCATACGCTGAGCGGCAGGCGCCCCCCCCCTTCTTCCCGCTCCCCAGAGCCAGACACTTCCCCTCCTCATTCTAACCCAGTCCCCTCCCCCAGTAACCTTATGCCCAGGTCCTGGAGCCGCCACCACCCCCTGAGATCTTTCCAGGGCCTGGGCTCAGCAGCTAGCTGCTAGCACATGCAGGCTGGGATGCTGTGTGAGACCCGGCCTGCACCTGCAGGATATGACACTGTGCACTGGCGGCTGTGAGCAGAACAGCATGGGCCGTGAGCATGCATGCAGCTCACAGCGGGCCGGCCGGGAGAGCGGGCCGCGGGGGGTAATGGGTAGGAAGGTTAGCGTATAGTAGAGTAAATGATTAACCAATAAGCCTAGGGTCATCTGTTAATCCTATCAACTACATGCACTTTTCCCCACCCCTAGAGCAGAGCCAGTGTCTGAGGAGCTGGCATTAAGCAGGCACCCCACAAGCGCCAAATCCATCTGCCCCACCTCTCTCCCATGCTGCTGCCTCCAATAGTGAGGCAGCAGTGTGAAGGGTGAGGAGGACAGGCAGGAGCTGACTTTCAAGCCAGTTCCCCATGCGTTTTGGCTCCCGTGGAACCACCTGAGTTGGCAGCAGGGTGGGGGCAGGCAGGAGCTGGTGCTGCAGGGAGCCAGCTTAAAAGCCCTTTTCTCCCCCCCCCCCCCCCCCCCCCCCCTCTCCGCCCCCGCCTGCCC